CAGCATTTGAAAGGGCTCAGACCTGGACCACTTGATCTGGACTCCAGCATGCTAATCGCTCTTTGGCCCATGCCTCAACAATTAGGGGTGGTGAATGGTAAATGTGAGACTTTTGAGAGATGGCATGACCAGCGCTTTTCTTTGCAAGCCCGAGACATATTGACTTTTTAGATTGCGAGACCAAGACTTAAAGTGTTTTGAGTGCGAGCGCGAGGGGTTCAGACTCTTAAAATTGAAGCCCCAGATTTAGTTGAGAGCTATAAGAATGAGGGAGAATGAGCTTGTACAGAAGTCTTACAAAGGAGTCTTTTGTTGTAAAAACTTGTGCCTTTACACAGTTCCACAGGGGACAACAGATAAGTTCTTTGACTTCGTGGGTTTCATCATGAGCTATCGATATTGTGGGCTGTGTGTGGCTTCTTGATTCCCCTGTTAGCCTTTTAGCCAGCCTTTGCGAACAAGCTGGAACTGGAAATTTGACTATAACACGCTACGTTAGGATATCCTAGAACAAAACAACTTTTTTTGGTGCCAAAATGATGTTGTGGTAAGTTTTGTAGCTTTTTGTGGAATTAAGACAATTTGGCAGAAGTTAGGATTAACTTTTTCTCTGAAATTTGAAAGTTGCTTTATTGAAATTCAATATCAAGTGACGAGAAGATGTCAATTATTAAAACAAACCAACGGAAACCCTTAACCTTGCAAAAAGTCAAGACTTCGATAGAGCTTCGTATAAAAATCAAGACTGCAAGACGCACATAACTGCTAAAAAAGTGAGACTGCGAGACCCGTGAAATTCGACTAAAATTTTGCGAGACCCAGAGTTTTTGAAGGACCATTCGCCACCTCTACAATTGTATACTGTACCTATTTAAAATTCCAGGTGCTCCATAAAGCCAACATATGAGTTACCCACAATGTGACCAGCTCCTTAAGTTGGCTTGATAGCTCAGTTGGTAGAGCACTGCACCAGTATCGCAGTGGTCATGGGTTTGAATCCCCTTCAGGCCTGAATTTTTTTCAGGCTTAAATTTCACAACTGCTTAAGTTGTGTGTGTAACTGTGATGATCAGTCGTGGCTTCATACGAGTTACCTGTTGAAGTATGCACAGTCAAGCTCCCAGCTTGATCGACAATTCCAAAGTGATGATGAAGCCATCCTTTTCCTCTTATCCAGTGAGTCATAGGGTAGTACACAAAAATTGGCCACAACAAATAAATAATCTACAAGCAACAAACAGAAATACAGTAGTTTTGAGGGTTGAAGTGACATTTGGTCACACCCCTAGAAAATGAATTAATGAGAAAATTGAAAGAATTACTTGACATGTATGATGAGATCACAAGTAAAAGGAATGCATGAATGTATTTACCAATGCTCCAAGAATGTTCATTTGTTCTGTCCTAAGATGAAAGGTCAAAAAGTAAAGTTGCCAGGAAATTGTGATTAACTAGAACAATGCTAATAAATGTCTGGTCATACAGTGCAAGCAAGACTACATGAGCAGACTGGGTACCATCATCATGCAGAGATGATGGAGATAGATAGGTCATGTCATCAAGAGGGAGGGAGGCTCTGTTTTTAAGACGACACTCCACTGGACACTGGAAAAGCACAACATTTATTGAACTAAACAGTAAAGCAAGAATATCCCTTTTCAATAAACCCCCTTGTCAGAGACCCACATTAAGAACCAGCACATCAAGCAATGACCCTTCAATATCAATGACTAATTCATGCTTTTCGGCACAACAAATCTACTTCAATTACTAGATGAATGGTATTTCATACTCACCATGCAGAAAGCAGCATAAATGGAGTAACAATAGCAAGCATCATTTCAAAACTTGCAAAAAGAACTCCCGGCACCGAATCGGATTGTGAGGAACAGTTGGTGCCAGGCAGACCAAAAAACAATGCATCATCCAGGCTAC